CACCTTGCACTTGTCAGTGTTGAAACCCATCCTGTTCACATCCACCCACCCCTGTAACCTGTCTAGGTCCGATTGCAGCCTATTCCTCCCGTCTAGCGTGCCCACATCCCCCCACATCTTAGTGTCATCAGCAAATTTGAACAGGGTGCTATTTACCAAGTCACTGATGAAGATGTTGAACAGTGCGGGCCCGAGGACCAAGCCCTGCAGAACCCCACTGCCCACATCCCTCTAGGTCGATAATGACCCGTCCACCACCACTCTCTGGTTGCAGCCCTCCAGCCAGTTGGTGACCCAATTGACTGTGTGGGTGTCGACACCACAGTCCCCCAGTTTCTTAATGAGAACGGGATGAGAGACAGTGTTGAAGGCCTTCCGAAAGTCCAGGAAGACTGTGTCCACTGCTACCCCTGCATCTAATGACTTGGTGATCTGATTATAGAAGGCCACCAGGTTGGTCTGACAGGACCTGCCACTAATGAACCTGTGTTGGTTGCCCCTAAGCATGATCTCCCCTGCTGGCCCCTCGTGGATATGCGCCAGAATAATTTTCTCAAAAAGCTTGCCCAGGATCGAGGTAAAACTTAACTGGCCTATAGTTTCCTGGGTCCTCCTTCCTCCCCTTTTTGAAGATGGGAACCACGTTGACCCTCTTCCAGTCCTCTGGCACCACACCAGAGCACCACGAGTGCTTGTAAAGCCGTGCCAGGGGTCCTGCAATGACCTCAGGCAATTCCCTTAGTACTCTAGGGTGGAGATCATCCGAACCAGCTGACTTGAATACATCCAGTTGCTCCAGAAGTTCCCTAACTAGTTCCTCACTAACCCTTGGCCTGGGTGCGCCTCCCCTGGGGCCTGAGGGGGGCCCGGCGGGGGTGACTGTTCCGGTCTCTGCTTAGGAAAATGGAGGCAAAGAAATCGTTAAATATGTTGGCTTTGTCATCTGGTGTGTTACTGCTACTCCAAAAGCAGTAAAAGTCTTTGGCAACGTGTTGTTTAACTAAGTAGTCAAATGATGAAATGCAAAGTTTCTGGTAGATTAGAAACTGGTGAAGAGGTAGAAAGCAGTCTGAGTGATTTGTCAATTTTAACGTGGTATGAAGTCAGTAGAGAGTTGCATAAGGGATGCATACTACAGGACTGCTGCATAATACTTATTAATGATATGGAGAAAAGAAAAAAACACATTTAAGTTAGAGAGAAAAAGGTTGCTGAGAAGCCCTGCCTAAACCAGATGACTGCTTCACTTACCAATGAAATTCAAAATTTACAAGTAACAATTTCAGTTATTAATATGCTGCACTGCATAGGTGATTCTAAACCACCTCTTTCCCAGGAAAGACTATTTAGATGCCATTGTGGACTAGTCCATGAAAACTGTCCAACCTACAAGAACAGCATTAGAAGAGCAAGCATGGTAGTGAGCAGCACATACATTTCTGTTATGTGATGCATCCTTAACTTGCACACTGCATTTAGTTCTGCTGCCACACTTCAGCCCTTTGGACCACTGCTCTATGTGTAGGCATATATTTCCTGAGCAAACATTTTGAGTGCTTTAACCCTTAAATACCCACACAAGTTTAGAGAGGAAATGGGGGAGGAAAAAGGAGACCTGTTAAGGTATGTAAAATAGGAAAGGCTTGTTCACTGGTTAACTCAGGGCTACTTACTTTTTTTGTCTTACAATAGTAGAATAATAACCTTTTTAATTTTAAAGCTGATGAAACAATATTTTTCTTAAATGATGTATGATTAACCTGTGGTCCTTTCTGCCACAAGAGAAATCCTTGAGGCTTATCCTGGCCCTTAGCCAGGATACCAAAAAGTAGTAGAGAGGTGAATTATAACTATAGTTATATAAGATGGGATTAATAAAATAAGCGATTTAAACACTCCTACTTTTGGGCAAAAAGCAACCAATAACTGCAGTCCTTACCCAGGAGAGATAAGGTACTATAGTTGACACTGATCTTTCATGGGTAAGGACTGTGGGTTTTTCTCCAGAAACATGAGTCATAATTTGTAAAACAAAGTCATATGTTTTGTAAATGAAAACAAATTCTATATGTTGGAGAGATTCAATAAAACTAAATTGATGGCTAGAGTATTGCAGGTCTCCCAACTATCTTCTAGTATAAAGACATATTTTGAGTCCAAAAGGCAGTTCCTACCTACTCGCACAACTTCAGTAGTGAAATGGTTCGTCTGCTCAATCCCATGTGTTAGTATCATGTGGGTTAAATTGTAGGGGCTGTCAGCAGAGCTGTTCTCCTTAATGCTCTCTGACTGTACCTACAAAGGCAGATGAGGGAATTAATTAACCCAAAGCCCTTCATTTTTTTTTCTCCATTTGGTGCACAACTTGGGGGGGGGGCGTTATTTTATTTTAATTACTTCCATGGTGACTATAACCTGAGAAGCAACATGTTGGAGGTCATGGATTGAGGGTACATGATTCAGTTATGTTAATCACCCATGTCTGCATTCTTGATCTCTTGTGAGAAGCTGCCAAGACAGGATACCCTCTTCTCATCTAATGAACCTCCAAGCCAAAGAGACAACTCAGTGCTACGCAG